GGTGGAAGAGTTTTATTGATATCAAGTTGATGAGACTTATGCAAACTAGGTAAGTTCTTCAATGATTCCTTCTCAGTCGCATCCTCTGTTAGATCCATCACATTATCTGGTGCTTTGCCAACAGCATCAACAGATTTAAGAAACTCATTTGCCTTGGGGACAAGGCGGGAGATTTGGTCTGCTAATTGCTTGATGTCAACATCATCTGAATTAAAAAGAGGAAGAGCATAATGAATACTATTACCCGAGAAATATAATTCAAAACTGCCAATTAGTAACTATGGGCAAGCACGAATACCACTTACCAGCAGACAACACACTTCTGATAGCCTGGACTGCTGAGGAACAAGTGTCACTCTTTGATCCTTCTAAGATATCTAGCAAAGCCGCTAATGCTCGTCTCCAATACGTAACAACAACTTTAAGTTGTGACCTTCCCCAATCAATGAGATCAGGAAGCCATTTAAGATCAGATGCATCTTTCAAAGCTCCTCCAATAGCACAGGACTCTTCACGGCTTCGTCTAAGCTTTACCAGAACGACAGGAGTTATCTCAAGCAAACGTACACATGTCATCTGCCAAATAAGATAAACTGGAACCTAAGCAAAAAGCCATACTCGACAAATTTGAATTACAAACAGCTCAAAGATAGACAACCCAAGAGGACAGTAGAATAAAGCATACGCAATAGATGTACACCAAAGGTTCACTATCTAATACCTGGTAAAGACTTTGATGGATGAAAGCCTTTCCTTCAGCTAAGCACTTCCTTACTGCTCTCCAGGCAACTTCTGCAAGCGAGTAGATAAACTTCAGCAATTCCGGGGTAACACTGGAGGAATGTGTGCTCTCAATCACAGGACGAGCACTGAAGTCCGGTTGCCTCAAAAATCCCCCTGCAGAACTCTTCACATCCTCAGTAATAATGACCACATCCTCTTCCTTCAGCAGCTTATATAATAAAAAGAAAAAATGATGCAGGATCTGAAATCTTTGTAGAACAGAGCTCAAATGGACCTGCAAAAAAATTGATATAAGCAATAATGGCAAAGGGTGGACGTTTTGTAGCCTAAGCAAATACCAACGCTAAGAACATCATCACGTACAGAGCAGAAAAATGTAAAGATTGCTGAACTTGCATTCATGAGACAAAAGTTAAAGGACTCATTGTATGTGTACCGTCCTATATCTTGAATAAAATGTAGCTGCTACTTACCTGCTGTAAAACATGTGTAGCTCCAGAAAAAACATATACGAAGTGTGAACTTTGAGAGCAGAGAAACTTCAGCCCACAAGACAGACCTCTGGTATTCGAAACGTGTTCCAGCATAGACTTTCCAAACTGCCGTATATTCTGTCAACAAAAACAACACTAGCAACATTGCTCAACATTACACGCATTTGAACCAACCAGAGAGTTTTAAACATAAAGTAATCATCTCGTGAGATGGTACCCAGCAATCATTTCAGGTTCCTTACGTACATCATCTGGGTCTGAAAGAGAAAGGATGAAGGTTTCGCTCATCCCTGGTACCCAGGTCCATTGTTTTCGATATTCTTCACCCATTTGGACCAGAAAACAAGTGGTCAATCTACAAAACCAAAACCCAAAAGCCTCACTATTACAAATCGTAACAGATATTAGTGGCTTTGCTACCACATTAGTGAAATGAAAAGTACCTTTTCAGTGTTCGTATTAACGTAGGGCACATCTTTGATACTGTCACAGAGTTTTTGGATTCCTTTCCTGGCCCCCCGTCATCAGAACCTGTTGCTACCTTCCATCCAAGCGTGCCTTTGATTTCAACAGCGGAAGATGAAAGCCAGGTTTCCATATCAACCGTCATGTGGTCATTCTTTTCAGATTCCACCAAACAAAAACGTGACCGAGACCAAAATACTGCTTGGGATAGCGATACTGGAAGGTTTAGAAGATTTGTATTTGTAAGAGTAGTAATCCAGAGCATCGGAATGCACATCCACTCTTTGCATTCCCCAAGAGTAACTTTGCTCTGCTGGGTAAAGTCACTCCACGGACGATCACTTACATCTTCGACAGCATGGGGAAAGGGAAGATTACTGTCATCGTCGTTATATTTCACCTCATTGCCCATATAATTGCCAGTATTATTACGTAGCAGCGAAGCTAGTAGGGCCGTAGCATCAGATACCAGGATAGTTTGGACAAGATCAATAGCAGGTTGACGCAATGAAATATGTAGTGCAGAATCGTTAAACGATGACACAAGAGACGGTCCCCTGTCAAATCAATTGTCTCTTAGAAAACGTAGATCTAACATACAAAAATAAAATAGGTCACAAGCGAGCAGGAAACTGTGAGGAGAAGAAACAATCACAACTACAACATATATATATGAAACAAGAATCTTCATACGTAATATCCTTCAAGCTCATGTGAAAACTATATTACAGATATTCAAAACCAATGATGGAATTTAAAGCCGATTCTCTCAAGTACCATATACAACAAACAGCTGCAAAAGAAAAGATAGGACCAGTTACACTAACCACATGTGTGCACACTCAAAGGGAGGGCAAGGAGGGTTCATCTTGTAACCTCTGAGTACAATAAGAAGAGCAATCTGAAAACAACAAAAAAAGTTTGGTGAAGATAGATAAAGGGATCAAAGAGTTTCACTCCAAGAAAAAGATGCAACGAATATGTATTAGTAAGAAAGACTAGAACTACCTTGTGGCCAATTCTTCTCGCTAAAACACTGAAGTTACTGCTAACTGGGACCTGGTGAAGGAGAAAGTAGAGAAAGTGTCTACGTTGCTTTTCATGCTCACCATCTCGCAAAGCCTCAAGGGACTGGACATAGGATATGCATAATATGAAAAGATAAGTAAAACTAAAACGAAAAGCACAAAACACGTGAAATAATGTCGATATCTTTTGGAGAACTCATATATTTAAGAGAAACTAATTCAAGCTTGCCTGTAATAATGGCTGGAAAAGATCAAAAATGGCTTTGTGGATCTTCTCGGCTTTTGTATGGAAACACTGACCCAACAATGTGTTACGCATCACACTTGGGGACAAGGTAGCCCTGAGCCAAAGCTTACAACCTTTGAGAGTGTGAGAATGTATAATCTAAACATAATATAGTTTCAAGATCGACTGAGTACTTTGCAAAACAACAGTAGTTTAACATACCAAGTGTCTTAAATAGCTCTTTCAGGCAATTAACAGCCAGCGAAAATTCAGGCGAATCGCCGCTTATATGATTCAACACTGTATCAACAAAAATGGGATAAGGCTCTAATATCCCCTCTTCAAAAGCAGGGCCTTCTAAGAACTCAAGCCTTTAACAAACAGAAAACATTATGGAATCAGCAACAACTGTATGAGAATTAGTCAAAACTACAAAATGAGATTTAGTCATCAAGTCTTACAATGATGTCATCCCAAGCCATATGGATGACCGGTCAAGATTAATCCTCGGCCTTGGCTCCTGAGATGTAGAAGGCATCCCCTCCATCTCCAGAATTCCAATGAATTTCTTGAGCAATGGCTGAAGGCGTTCCAACTGGGTTGCTGACCTGCCAAGTAAGCACATAATATCACATACATCATCGCAATAAATTTTCCTAAGCAGTAGAGACAGTCATGAGAATATATCCATAAAATTATGAACTCACTTAGTCTATGTTTAAAAAGGGAGAAAATACCTCAACTTCCCCATAGCCCTCGCCAAGCGATAACCAATAACACGCACCCTTCTATTTAGAAAAAGAAGTGCATACACACCCTAAAAAGAAAACACGAGAGAATAGACCAAGTCAGAGAAATTTAGTTAAGAAGGAAACACAAGAAGCTCTCCAGACTATACCGGAAATTCTTGATTCTCAGCAAATGCTAGCTCATGAATATTGTCGATTGACTCAATAAACTTCTCAAACTCATTGCATAACGACATGTCGTCAAAGAAGAACGGAAACATCAAAACCTGAAAACAACAAACGACATTATAAGTATGATTAACACAAAACAAATCCAAACGAAAGCTACAAAAATCTCAAACACATACTACCTCATACATAACACTAACAACTTCTCCATGATGATGATCAGGATCATACTCTCCTTTCTCTACCATCAAATTAATCTCTTGCAAATGCATAGTCACTCTCTGCTCATCAAGCTTACGCAGCACAACAAGCAACGGACCAACAGAAGCACACTCATACTCTTTCTCATACATCTCCTGAGTCTGATGATGCTGAGAGATACACTGAGCACAAGTCCTCATCTCCCTAGAGATTCTCTTCCACAGAATCTTAAGAGGAGAGTCCTCTCTATCGTCTCTAAAGTAATTATAAAACGTCTCGAGAAGAGGTCCCATTACATCGCTACTCCCACACCAAATATGAGTGTCTTTCGGTAACGAGATCAGCATAGTGAATGCATCTGTAAACCTAACGGATTTTCAAACTCAATTTTAGGGAAAGAAGAATCGGAGGAAGCTAAGGGGAGAGAGAGAGAGATGGAGAAAGGATTAGGAAACCATTGTTCTTTGCGTTGGTTGAGACGGATTACTGTAGAGGGATCAGAATCGTCGTTATCCTCTTCGTCTTCTTCGATTCTTCTCCATCGGGTTAAGAGCTCTCCACTTGAGGAGACTTTACTCGTCATTTTTTTTTTTTTGTTTCTCCTCGACACGAAAAGTGTTTTCCGGCGACGGGAATTTTGAAGTTTCCGATTAATTGAATTTTAACCAATTTTGAAAACCCTTTCTTTTGTTGCATTTAAAAAGCGAGTAGAGAGACAGTGGCACGACATCGTTTTAGTAATGGGCCGTTAATGAATGGGCTTTTTAGGCGGGAAACGCAAACACGACGTCGTTTTATCGATAATGGGCTTCTTACGCGGGAAACGCACTGACCAGGCGCCTCCAAAAAAGTTTGTCGGGGAAATAATATCTTTTTTTTTTTTATAAACAGGAAAATTATTAATCTCCTCTTTCTCGGTCTTCTGCAAGCTTTTCTCTTTCGATTTTCAGGTGATTAGGGTTTTGAGTTTTATTCGATTTGTGGTTATATAAGAATTACGTAGAGAATGCTTCGTAGCTATGGATTATCTGCTGATTGTTAGGGTACACAGTGTAGATCTACTACGGTTCCTTTGGCGAAACATTGTGCGTTATGTAATGTCTCTTACGTGTTTGGTTGATAAGCTTGAATCTTGTTTGTAGGCCTGAGATTGGGATGTCTGATTGATTCACCGGGGAATAAATAAGGATTAGATGATTGATCTGAGTAACTTGATTATGTTTACTTAACAGTTAGGTTTTGCTAATGTATTGTAAGTTTCAGAATATTGTGTGATCTTTCAGTTCTAAGTTTTATGTTATGTGGTTACTTGTGTTTGTTACTAGAAGCTGAGAGATGTCGGCGTACGACAATGTTATTGGCGGGAAGCTGAAGCTGAAAGGGAAGGCTTTAGATGTGAAAGCAGGTGGAGTCAAGAAGAAGAAGAAGAAGAATAAAGAGAAGAAACAGGAAGAAGAAGCTCTTAAGATTACTGAACATGAACTCATAGAAGGTAACACATGACGGCTTCTTCTTCTTTTTTTTTATAACCATTTGAGTTTTTTTAAATATGCTGTTGGTTTGGTTTATAGGAGAAAACGCAGAAGCATTGGGTAAATTGATTGAAGGAGAAGATGAGGAGGAGGGTAGGAGTGAAAAGGAGGATGGAAAAGTGCAGCCTGATGATGATGATGATCTGTTAACGCCTGCAGAAAGAAGGTACATAGAGCAGAAGCAGAGACTGGATGTGCAGAAACTAGCAAAGGAAGCGAACAAGTCTCACCGTAACAGGATTGAAGATTTCAATCAGTATCTGGCTAACATGAGTGAGCACTACGATATCCCTAAAGTTGGACCTGGTTAAAATCTACTTGCTTCCTTGCCTCTCTCTGGTTATTATCAATTTAGCATTGTTAAACAACTACTGTTGTTGGATCTCTCTCGTGTTATCCCCATAACCTTTTTTTTTATTATGTGACCTCTGCTCTTTTAATGATGGACACATTTTCCTCGCTCTTCTTTCTGTATCTCTCAGTTTTCAAACTTGTTCTAGTTTCTCAATCACAAAACAATCTTTGTCAAGAGCTGGAACAGACACGAGACACCCAAAGAGGTGTATTTTTTATGCACATCGCTGAGACTGTGAAATTATGTTCAATCAAAAGACTGTTACATCTAGTGCATTTTAATTGTAGACGTTTTTGAATGTGAAATCTCAAAAAGAACAAAAAAAAGAACTTAATGAAAGAATGTCCTAACTATTTGTTCTAGAACCAAACCAACCAATTACGCACTGTTCGTAAGCTCTGTTTCCATGTAACCTGATTGTAGATAATTTGTTCCTTATCGATTTGTCAAGCTGCTTTTCTATTCTGATCGGTGATATGGCTCAGCCCCAAGTCCAATGACATACCTCTCTTTAGCAAACTCCACCCTTGAGCAGGATACTGCTAAGGAAAAAACAAGTGATTCAAAGTTTCCATAATGGGTGGACATAAAACACATTTTGTGCTGATATTAGGATTCCAACTAGCTATTCGTTCCATGTAGTGAAACGATCTTCAACATCAACCATATTATAAAAGCATATCACCGATCAGAATAGAAAAAAACAAGTGATTCCAAGTTTCCATAGTGGATGGATATAAAACACATTTTGTGCTGATATTAGGATTCCAACTAGCTATTTGTTCCATGTAGTGAGACGATCTTTAACACCAACAGGCCTGGCTCACTTTGATATTGGATCCTGAGCCTAAAAATTTATTTTGTGAGGATTTATATAATACTTATTAAAATATATAGGTTGTTTAGAAAAGTTTCAAAATTTAGGCCCTAACTTGTAAAGGAAATTTGATAAAAATTTGAGGGGTCCCTGTGCAAATGCACTGTTGACACACCCTCTAAGTCAGCACTGAACACCAGCCATGTAACATGATTGTAGATAATTTGTTCCATACCTCTCTTTAGCCAACTAATATTTTTCAGAAAATTTCTTACACAATATTAAAATAGCTAAAATAATTACATTAAATTTTAATTTTTAACTCATTTAAAAATAAAAATTTGCCAAAAGGCCATATTATTTTTGTTACCCAAATGCCCTAATAGTTTTTGAAGCCAACCTTATCCCGCTGAATTATATATTTTATTGAGTTATGAGAGAATATTATAATGTATAGGTACAAATGGCGACATAATTCTTTTATGTATTATAGAAATGAGATACATTATTTCATAATTTTTATAGAAGACAGAAAACAACATAAAATAGAAGGCTAGCGAGTATTCCAAGCGAGAACCCGCCCTGGTGGTTCCAAAACACTTCTTGTAAACCAAATTCCATCAATTTTGGCAGTCCATGAACGTAACTGACCACATCGTTGAAATTTTGAATGATATGCTTGAAGACCATAATAAAACATATTATTAGGTCCATGACTAATAGTGCATTCCCATCGTGTTTCTTTTGGCCACCAATAGTCGTTGAAATCAATGATAAAGGGAGGTGCATTAAAGCCTAATTGATAAGATTTAAACTCCCCCCTGTTATCACTACAGTCGATCAACAAAATACTACGAGGAGATATTTGATTATTAAATACTATAGCGTTTTTGTGGCAACGAGCTTCATTTAACCCAAAACACATAGTACTAATAAACACAATAACTATCAAATGATTCATGTTGTGGATTTGTGATATTATTGTAATGATAAAAGATGTCAAAACATATTTGAATATTTAAGCATTTGTATAGAAAACTTTATTTTTTAACATTTTTGTAAAAATTAGTAACGCATATATCTAGGGATTTAATTATATTTTGAATACAAAATAAACTAGTCAAACATGTGAGTTTAATTTCTATAAGTATAGATGATTACTAGAATCAATCCAAATTATTTCAAATTATATTACTAAGAATGATAATATCATTATAAATAAAGAATAACTCTTATAAAGTAGCTGTTTAAACAAAAGATTTCTTGAGAGAAAATAGGTATATATTTGATTTTATAGGTCAACTTAGTAAAGTAAACAATCCAAAGTTTTATGGTAAAATTTATATTTTTTGGTCGACTCTAATAGTCAGTAAAACTTGGTCAAACAAGTGTTTGATTATAGTGTCCAACCACATTTTTAGAAACTAAACTCAAAACATATTCAAACTAAATCTTAGACTTTAGTTTAATTGGTTCCATTCTATGAGTTTTGATAAACCATGAATGTGGCCGATCACATCATTGATAATTTTTTTATATGTATAAAGTCGTGATTTGAACTGTTTCTAATACGCAGTTCCTTAGAGCACATTAGGTTATCCGCAGTGATAATATTTTGATAGTTTCTTCTTATTAAAATAATGTAATAAAAAGAAAAAGAAGGGGAAAAAAGAGATATAGTACGTCTGAGAAGAAACTTATATATTGTAACATGTCCACTAATTAATGGTTTAGTTTAATTAAAAAAAGTGATAAAATCAAATTCATTGTTTATATTTTTAAGAGACAAGGGTAGTCTCTCAAAACTAAATATGTCACTAGTGATAACTTGTTTATTATGGATACCTCACATGTATAATAACAATAATAAAAATAATAATAATTTAATAATGTTTATAATTAAATGTTAGAATGAGAAAAAAAATGTCAGGAGATATGTTTGAGTTGAATCTCTTAGCAATGAGAAAAACGATTCTTTCTTTTTTCGAAACCCATCAGGTTGCGTTACGTACACATCTTTCGTTAGTTCTCAATTTAAGAACGTTGTTTTCACGTCTAAGTGATGAATCTCCTATCCATTTTCATTATACCTCCCATTATTGAACTCCACACCTGAGCAGAGTACTGAAAAGAGAAAAACAAGTGATTCCAAGTTTCCCTAGTGGATGTTCATAGAACACATTTTGTGCTGATATTAGGGTTCCAACTTTTTATTCGGTTCCATGTAGGGAGACTATTTTGAACAGCCAACCACCTTTTAAAAGCATATCTATGTGTTTTGCGTGTGAACAACACGATTTTCCCCACTAACATCTATGTTTATGATCTTTTCAGTCAAGGGCGGCTTAGGTAGCTTGGCGAAGAGTGCGACTACCTTCGGGGCCAAATGATTATTTTTTTACAATTTAATTGTTTTTTTTTAGAAAAAGAGAACAATTTTTTTATATATATTAAAAACTATTTTTTTCAGAATATTTTCAACATAATATTAAAATACCTAACATAGTTACATTAAATTTTAATTGTAACTCATTTAAGAATAAAATTTTTCCAAAAGCCATATTATTTTTGCTACCCAAATACCCTAATTTTTTTTAATCAAACCTTATTGCGCTGAATTATATGTTTTATTGAGTTAGGAGGGAATATTATAATGTTTGGGTAAAAATGGTGACATAATTCTTTTATGTATTATAGAAATGAGATACTTTATTTCATAATTTTTATAGAAGACAGAAAAACAACATAAATGAGAAGGCTAGCGAGTCTTCCAAGCGAGAACCCGCCCTGGTGGTTCCAAAACACTTCTTGTAAACCAAATTCCATCAATCTTGGCAGTCCATGAACGTAACTGACCACATCGTTGAAATTTTGAATGATATGCTTGAAGACCATAATAAAACATATTATTAGGTCCATGACTAATAGTGCATTCCCATCGTGTTTCTTTTGGCCACCAATAGTCGTTGAAAGCAATGATAACGGGAGGTGCATTAAAGCCTAATTGATAAGATTTAAACTCCCCCCTGTTATCACTACAGTCGATCAACAAAATACTACGAGGAGATATTTGATTATTAAATACTATAGCGTTTTTGTGGCAACCAGCTTCATTTAACCCAAAACACATAGCACTAATAAACACAAAAACTATCAAATGATTCATGTTGTGGATTTGTGATATTATTGTAATGATAAAAGATGTCAAAAAATATTTGAATATTTATAGCATTTGTATAGAAAACTTTCTTTTTAACATTTTTGTAAAAATTAGTAACGCATATATCTAGGGATTTAGTTATATTTTGATACAAAACGAACTAGTCAAACATGTGAGTTTAATTTCGATAAGTATAGATGATTACTAAAATCAATCCAAATTATTACAGTTTATATTACTAAGAATGATAATATTATTACAAATAAAGAAGAACTCTTATAAAGTATCTATTTAAAAAAAAAAGATTTCTTGAGAGAAAATATGTATATATTTGATTTTATTGGCCAACCTAGTAAAGTAAACAATCCAAAGTTTTATGGTAAAATTTCTTTTTTTGGTAGACTATAATAGTCAAATAAAACTTGGTCAAACAAGTGTTTGATTATAGTGTCCAACCACATTTTTAGAAACTAAGCTGAAAATATATTCAGACTAAATCTTAGACTCTAGTTTAATTGGTTCCATTCTATGAGTTTCGATAAATCATGAATATGGCCGATCACATCATTGATAATTTTGTTATATGTATAAAGTCGTGATTTGAACTGTTTCTAATACGCAGTTCCTTAGAGCACATTAGGTTATCCACAGTGATAATATTTTGATAGTTTCTTCTTATTAAAATAATGTAATAAAAAGAAAAAGAAGGAGAGAGAAGAGATATGGTACGTCCGAGAAGAAACTCATATATTGTAACATGTCCACTAATAGGTGGTTTAGTTTAATTAAAATAAAATGATAAAATCAAATTCATTGTTTATATATTTAAGAGACAAGTGTAGTCTCTCACAACTAAATATGTCACTAGTGATAACTTGTTTATTATGGATACCTCACATGTATAATAATAATAATAATAATAATAATAATAATTTAATAATATTTACAATTAAATGTTATAAAGAGAAAAAAAAATGTCAGAAGATATGTTTGAGTTGAATCTCTTGGCAATGAGAAAAACGATTCTTCCTTTTTTTCGAACCCCATCAGGTTGCGTTACATACACATCTTTCGTTAGTTCTCAATTTAAGAACGTTGTTTTCACGTCTAAGTGATGAATCTCCTATCCATTTGCATTATACCTCCCATTAGTGAACTCCACACCTGAGCAGAGTACTGAAAAGAGAAAAACAAGTGATTCCAAGTTTCCCTAGTGGATGTTCATAGAAC